TGTTATTGTTATCGTTTGTGAAGTTGACATTAATTTAGAAGTTAGTTTGTTCCTGTTCCGTAGTTAAAATTGTACCGAGTGGAATAAAAGTTGTAACCAGAAGAAAGAATTTGATACTCGGCCATCCACGGTACAATATTGTTGTCTGTCTCTGATCTTATTGATATTTTATAATCAATCAGTCATAATGTTGAGTTTCGTGCATCTACCACTTGTTTTCCTTTGGTTATTCGGTCCTTTGTAGCTTTCTCAGTTCGTCCTGTTCGTCATTTTTATTACCAGATATATGCCTTCATCAGCCTTTCCTATTTTGTGATGCTGTAGGTCCAGATATACACAGATATTGGGTTTTGTTTAAATTTACCTTTAGTCTCCATTTTTTGTTTTCTTTGATAAGCTTTCTGGGCAAGGTCTTCCTTGACCTTTGTCTTGAGCAATCACTACCTGGTCATCTGCATATTGTAATGTATACATATAATCATTTTCTTTTTTTATTTCTTGCAGCTCATCGTTCCACCAATAATTCTTCTTTCTGAGTCTGCTTTCTTTTATACCTTAGGCTTCTCTGGCCACTTGCAGCATTCGTTTTGCTATAATTTTATTTAAGTGTTTAGTTGTTTCCTGACTATATTCTTGTGGTAGTTGTTGGTAACATTTGTTTATAAAGTTGTCTCGTAGTTTCGTCCGAAATTGTTAAGTTTGTACCTGTTCCACTTGGCTTCTGTTGGTTTTGTAGGTGTGTGAATTTTCCCGCAATGGGTATGATTATTTTCGCTTTATGACATTATGGTCACTTCCGCATTCTGCGCCTCGAGATACTCTTACGTCTTGGGCATTTATTTTAGCATTTTGTTTCATTATTAATTAATCGATAAATGGTAAATTCTTCATGAAAAACTACCAAGGTTGGTTATTTGGTTATTCAAATCAATTCATCTTTTTCAGTCGACTTAAACACATTTTATCACGTTTTTTCGTCACTAAAGAATTTGTTTTGTTTTATAGACGGCTCCATCATATCCTCCAGGGTACAATAATGCATACCAGTATCAGTATCCATATGGCTATCCAGCAACGTACGGATATCAGGTAACATTCGGCCCTCTAATCAGAAAAGCATCATATTCTTACTGAAGAGATTGCGTTTTTTCACTGCATCATTGTTTTCTTAGAATGCACCTCCAGGCCCGCCAGCGGAGGCGGCGTATCAACACCAAGTCGGGGGCTGGACCCAAGCGCCTACAGCTCAAGCAATGCAACATGGTTATCCGCCAATTCCACATCAGCCTGCCCCCACACCGAACCAAGACCAGAAACTAGAAGGTATGTTTTCACTTTCCTCTATAAATCAACTAAAGTTACACGCAGTCCGTTCAAAAAGGGTGAATAAGTTTTTGAGCGACTTAAAAACCTGGCGGTTTTTTAGAAAGTGAGTGTTGTGAGTGCTACTTTTTCTTGTCCTTGCTGTATTTACAGTCATGTTTCAATTACACTCCGAAATATTGTTGGTTTACTGATGGGTAAGTTTTTTAGAAAGTGAATAGTTTCGTATGGTGGAATTTTGCACAGTTTTATGAAAACACCCCAAAAAATTAGCATTATAACTAATAAAAACTGATGTAACCACTGATGATGCGACTCGAAAACCCACCAGCTAGATGTTTTGATCATGATTTCTATAATCACGCGAACATTTCGCTTATCAGTTCTCAAATTCTGTCTGATTTCTTTTGCTGTAAACTAGCAATTAATTGCCTAATATTTTGCCGAATTGCTATGCCTCCATCTTGGTCATTTTCATCGTATTCTAACGCAAAGATCCACCTTGGGCTCTTGCCACACAATTGTCGCACCGTCACCGTGTCCACTTGAATCACTAAACCGCAATTCTTATCAGAAAATACAATATTGTTGCGAATGTTAGGCAGAAATTACGAACTCCTACACGTGGAAATAAAAATAAAAATTGTTGACTATAAAGAATGTAAAGTATACTCTTGTGCTCCCTCTTATATCTCATTTAACTGGTGAATCATATTCGGATGTGAATAACCAAGAACTATCCGGTTCCAGTCAAAGGGATTCATCAAGTGTCTGGGTTTGTATTTTATACCATAATATATTTGGTAATTTCCCATCATTTTAACGGAGTCTTTTCGTAGGATTTGTCATGGATTATAAAAAGCTATGGGAAGGAGGGACCGACCTGATTGATCAGTCTATAAACTTTCCCCATTTTAAAGCAGGAGTATAAAAATATAGATAAAAGTTGTTACATTGTGATATTTTCCACGGGCTTCAACTAACACTTGTTTTTATTGTAGTTGTGCATGAAATGCAGCAGCAGAAAGCGACATTGACCAAACAGCGGGAGGATTATGTGAAAAAGGCGATGGTACTGCGTAGGGAACTGGACGACATGAAGCAACAGAAACAGGAACTCTCTAGCGGCGATATGTCAGAGCGAGAAATGAGATTCGTTTTCAAAGAGAACGAGCGATTACAGGTAAAACCTACTGAACCAAGATGTATGACATTTTTGAACGTCAACGTTTTAGGATGAAATAAACGGTAAACTGAAGGCGATTCTTAATGTAATTGAAATGCTCTCAAGTATCATTAAAGACGGTAAAAAAATTGGCGACCTGGAAGCCCAACTTGGAGAGAAAGAAGCGAATTTCGAGGCCGTTTCTTTAACACCGCAACGGGAAGTAGAAACCGATGCGAATGGAAGGCAACAATCCGTCTCACGGGGCGATCGAGAAAAGTATGAAAGCGAAGTGGACAACAATCAAAGGTAGCTTGAAACTTGAAGCAAAAATCGGAAGTGTTTTCTATGGACTCTGATATTTACCTTTAGGTTCAGCTATGTGTACTACGATACTGGCCTGCATTGGTGCAGAGCTTGTGACAAATTCCCGGACACTGCGAAGGAACTCTTGCAGCATTTGCACAGTAACCATCATCAAGACAAAGCAAAGGAAAATGAGGTGGATACTACACCTTGGCATAAACTGCCGTTGGAACCGCTGTTGCCCAGTTTTGATGACGCTCCTAAGAAAAGGATACCCATCAAAGGTAACATGATCGAACATGCAAATTCAATAAGGTATTTACAAGCTGTTTGATTTAGGTCTACAGTTTTTTATTTCCGCGCCTTCATGGTACTGCAAATTGTGTGACGTGTGGATAGGCGACTTACACTGTGCGTCGCATCATCTAAAGTCGTTGACTCATTTTCAAAACTATGAGGTATATTCTGAGCAATATCTTAAAGTTAGAGGTGTGAGTGTAAAAAATATGACTTTCCAGATTTTTGTGAAACAAAATCCCCAATGGGAAACCGAATGGATAAAAGACCGTGAAATCGCAATGACTCGCAACATAAATCAAGCTGCCGATTCCAGCGGCTCTGAACAAAAGTCTGGTAAAAAGCGGAGTCGGAGGCAATCCACTGAAAGGTATATTTTAATTCACCATTGGCCTTAACGATAGCACCGAGTGTTCTTAGTTTTCTCAAGGAAAAGAAAAAGAAGAAGCGCTCCAAAAAGAAGAAAAAGAAAGACTCAAGTGATTCGTCTAGCAGCAGTTCTAGTAGTTCGGAGAGTAGCTCAGATGAAGATGAAAAAGAGGACAGGGGAAAGAGCATCAGAGTGGCGATGCGAAACATGCAACAGGTAAAGTTTTTAGAATTTACAAACGCAAGCATAATAAGATAACATGGGTGAAAAGTAGATATAAAAGCGAGTTATTTACAAGTTTACTTTTAATTTTTAGTTTGTTTTTGTTGCAGCAAAAGTTACTGGAAATGTAATATACTGATTCAAAGTTTAGTTCTGAGATATTTATGGCTGTGAGGACTATAAACGGGAATCCAAATTGACTTCTTACGCTCTTCTTAAACATCAAAGGAAATGCTGCATAAACGAGAAAATTAATGCTTACCGAAATTCGCATATTAAATCAACAGGGCATTAATTTTTTCGTTTATCGCATGCATGAGATTGTATTAGTTATCAATGGTTTTCGGTAATTGTACGCATCTAGCATTAAACTACATTAATTGTTATACCTAAGTTTATTAAAATAAAAGTCATGAGTATTCTATGGCAATTATTTATCCCAGATATCAGCTTCTTCAATCGGTAAGCGCGATGTCTGAATTTAGCCAATCGGTTTACTAGCATATAGCTTTAAAAGTTTGTCTGTTACAATTGCAATTTTTCAGGTAAAATCCATCATGGACGAGGACATGTCCAAATGGACAATCTTAGAAAAGCTGGTGCAAGACGTTCGCAAAAAAGACGGGGAGAAAAAGGAGAAAGGACCGAGCAAAGGCGAAGATGAGCTGATCAATCAGTGGATGACTGTCACGAATCCTGTGCCCGAAAAGGAAAAGAACTTGCTTGAAGGATTAAAGGACAGGTAAATAGATCAAACGCGAAAACATCGACGAATATCGAATCGGTGGCTTTTAGAATGAAAGCCAAACAAGATATTGAAAAGGCTAAAGTAGCGGAACTGGAAAAACGTCGCAAGGATAAGGAGAAGGAAGAGCAGGAAGCGTCTGAGAAGAAACGGAAACAAGCTCGAGAAGAAAGTGAAAAAGCGGAGAAGGAAAGAGATCGGAAAAAGAAGGAGGAGTTAAATAGAGTTTGGGACAAGGACAGGGGCAATGTTCGGTAAGACATTGGCTTGCTTTCTACCTAGTTCATTCCCTATACATAAATTTTCTTGTAGATTCAAGCCTGGACGGGACAATGTGCGTAAGCAAAAACAGGATAGTGACGAGGAAAACAGAAGCCGCCGCGATCGACATTATCGTCGGGGAAGCAGGGAGAAAGAACGATCGCCGCAGTTCAAGTGAGTTTTAAAAGCCCCATTGCAATTCCGATAATGTTGTATCATTGTTCCAGATCTCGACGATCTATTGACCGGATGTATAGAGCCTCCAGTAGGGAATCATCTAGAGACCGCGATGAACCCTCAAGGAAAAAGCCGCATGGGCCTCCCAGTTACAAAAAATTGCCTTTCATCGGCCGAATGCCATTGTTCAAGAAGAAAATGGGACAAAAAGATTCGGACAAGGAGAAGGAATTAAAAGAAGAAGTGTATGAACCAACAAGGAAAACAAGGTGAGAAGTTGTGCAATTCAGAGACTGCTCAGACAGTGAATAATTACAACATCGTTTTCAGGTTTGAATCCGGTAATTTGACGCGAGCCTACATCCCGAGACCGGAGGTGGTTTGTTTCCCGATGCTGTCAAGCATTCCGCCTATTTCGGCGCCCCCAGAACCAACCGCAGTAGAAGAAGTCGCTTATCCTACTCCAATGCCTTCGCAAGAATACCAGACTCCGCTCCCAAAACCGCCGGTTGCTCCGAAATTGTCAAGCAAAAAGAAGAGTTCGTTGGCTGCCCCGCCACCACCTCCTCCATTGGACAACCATCACAAGGATGATGAAAACGTAACGGAATTGTTTTCTAAGTTGTTTGACTCACAGCTCTGATTGGGGATTTTCTTGATTTAGGACGATATGGATTTGGTTCCAACCATAGAATCCACGTTTTATCAGATGTATGAAGAGAGTGGCTTTGAGACCTTGCCTCATCCCCCTTTGGAGCCGCCGCCACTACCACCAGATGATGATTTGGCTCTGTTGGGAATTTGTGCTGATGATATGGCTGCCCAATCATTTTAACCTGTTTTAAATGTTCACTTAGGTTCTTTCTTTTTTTCCGATAGGTAGTTGCATTATTTTTAATATTAAATCACAAGATTCTAACTGAACAGTTAATTAAATTAGACATATAGGTTTTCTTGAACAAGCGGTTTTTTATTGCTCTCGTAGCTACTTTACCATCCCAACCACAAAATCAATCAATATCGCCAAATGTTAGTAGGCAGCCTTGGTTATTGATCAAACAAGATTGAAGGTGCTGAAAAGTTAGTGTCTAACTGACGTTGCTTGAAGCTGAACATATTTACAATTTTCTACAAAAGAGTCATGGCTGAGACTGAAAAAGCGGTTCTAGATCCGAACCATCCGTTATTGAAACGGTTTCAAGATGCTCTCAAGGAGCACTATGTATACCAAATCAACAGGCTGAAGAACGATATTTTCGAATATGAAGCCGAAACTAAGAAAACGGATGCTGAACGCGAAGAACTGGGAATGCAAGCCTACGAAGTTCAGCAAATGGTCTGCCGGTCAGTAAAATCCACAGATAAAAGCATCAATTTACATTAACTCCTTATGCATTTAACTCAAGACAACAAAAGGTGTTGGAAGAGCTGGTTAATGATGTTCACACAATTGCGGGGGCTAAACAAGAAGTCGAGAACAAGCTACAAGAAGAAAGATTCAAGTATAAAGAAGCTCAAGAGCAAATGATAGCGGCCGAAAAAACGAACCTTGAACTTCAAAACGAAATTAATTCTGTTAACTTATTGATTAACCAGGTACAGCGATTCGAATAAAACACTGCCTTTGGTATAACGTGTGTCACAATGCAGGTGTCTCAATGGGAGTCTAAGATCGAATCCAACATTGCGGTCAATCAACGAATTGCCGAAAAAACACGCAAAGACAACATGAAACTTTCGGAGGAAAAACGCAAACAAGATGGGCAAATTTACAAAATTATGCGAGCTATTTGGCACTTGGAAGTGGAAGTGGAAACCATGAATATGCAAATTAAGTTGAAAGGTAATACATGTGAAAAATGAATTTCAATTCTAGCTGTTTGATGATGTTCTTAGAGACCGAAAGAGAAGAACTAGAGCAGACTGTTGCTTTGGGGAACACAAATCTCGAGGCTTTACAAGCAGAATATCGTTGCTTGATGCATTCGTGGAATTCTGTCGTTGTGGCAATCGGAAACAGAGATAGAATTGTAGAGTGTCTTAGAACAGAGGTACCTACTAAAAAAAAACGCGAGTTGAAGTAAAACCTAATTTTTGCTTGCAGGAAGTAAAAGTGCACGAGAAAATCAAAAGCACTCTCTCAGAAATAGATCAGTTGAAAAAACTGACTAAAAAGGAAATGAATGAAAATCAACGACTAACTGTGAACAAAACTAGAATTGAAATGGACATCTCCAACTGCAAGCAACAGCTGGACGAAGAAATGGCAAATTACAATGAGCATGCCAGAAACATTGTGGAAATGCAAACGATTATAGGCACGTTCACGTCGAATTTCAAAAAGCTAACTTTAAATATTTTGTTACAAACTTCTTTTTGGGTATTTCGCCTCAAAAATTTTTGTCTTTAAAAAAGACAGAATTTCCTTACGTCTTTTATTACAGATTGATAAATAGTGCTCCTGTTTCGCAATAAGAATGAATTATTTATCAAAAAGTAATCAAGAACTATCACCTAGAGGGTATCCTGCGACACACTTATGCTCAAGCTGTAAGAGAAAATTTCAATTAGTAGAGAAATTAATTTGAAAAATTTGACGTTTCGATAGCTATTTTCTGCTATCGTTATCAAGAGAACCTAAATGAACCTAAAACAGAGTATATTAATAAATTGTGTAACAATAGTAGGATAATACAGTATACTGTATTATCCTACTATTGTTACACAATTTATTAACATACTCTTTTTTAGGTTCTTTTGATAACGATAGCAGAAAATAGCTATCGAAACGT